GGCCCACTGTTAACACCTATTATTTATTTGTTTGCTATTAGGCATCTTCATGTGCTTAAGAATAGGGCCCAATACATACCCATGTCCCTACCAGCATCTTGGAAGTCTCATGCATAATTTTTAGTATGCTGGCATCAAAGGATTTTTCGATAGTCTGGGCTATGATTTGCCCCCCCCCACCCCCCCAAGAATATATTGCACTGCCTGTCATACTATGAAACTCTTAGGACAGCCATATACACTGGAATTTTGAGGCTCTTACCTGAACAATGGGGCATTACAGCACACACAATGGTACATTCCTGGATCTCTGTTATTCAGATAGATTCCAGTAAATGGCTAAAAAACAACATAGTATTAACATACTACTTTCAAGGCTCAACATCTGGAGCAAGCATGTAGGGGGAGTGGTGTCAGATTTGAAACAGGGGAAAAACAAAGAAGGCTTCACAGGGGGCCTTTGAGAAACAAACAACACACACACATACAATCGAGGGGAATATGCCTTTGGATTAACAGTGAAGATTTTGCCCCTGCCTTCAAAAGCTTCCAGAATACGATCTAACAACAAATGTGTAAATCATCCAGGTAGTGGGGCCAGTGTCACGACCTTCTAAGCTCATGAAGTGTGCAGCACCTCACAGATCAAGTCACTTATATAGAGTTCAACAACTTCAAAGTACTCTACAATTAACTAATCCTCATAGCCCCTCTGGGAGGTAGAGAATTGTTATCCTTATTTTACAACTAAGGAAACAGACACAGGTTATGTGATTTGGTCCAAGGGCACATGGCAAGTTAGTGACATAGAACTAAACCATATGGCCTTTCAATTAGAGAATGAAATATAGCAGGGTGACAAGGTATGAACATGGTCTGGCATGTAAGGGTTACTGGGTTCCAGCCTATTACATGGCTGTTGTGGGTGGGATTATAAAGGGAAAGAGGAAGCTGGTGCAAAGAAGGCTAGCACAGGGGAAAGGTGTATTCTGGTTGGAGCTAGAAAGGCCCCAGCGATTATTACTCGGTAATTTGAGTTGATTTGTTTTGAGCTTTGTTTCTGAAGATCAAACAATCCCTAAAGAAAGGGCTGAGTCTGCACACCAGCTTACAAGCACACCGGAACTGCCACACTGGCTCAGACCAGTTGCCCATCTAGGCCAGCAGCAGAGGCTTCACAGGAAAGAAATCCTGCAGTAGATGGGGGTAAGGAGTCCCCCAGAGAAAGTTTCTTCCCAACCCCCAGTAGCTGAAGGATGGATTAAGCCCAGAAACATTAACAAAATGAGATATATTTCCAGTACTGTCTCCTTGACAGGCATCAGACCTCGTGCTTACCAGTTCAGTTCCTTTTTCTCTTGTGATATAGAACTGTTCCGGAGTCAATTTCTTTTGCCAATCAGTGATGACAGCTGTGTCATCATATCTAGTCAGAGACCCCACATCTTTAACTGGAAAAATAAAAGAGTACATATTTAAAAATATGCGCTTTTCTCATTTTGAAACACAATCTGTTGGCCACTTTCCACTTCAACATCAGGCTGAAAGTTCACTTTGCCCACAAACAACTGAATACTCTGGGTTTATGTGGGTAATATATAGGTGAGGAAGGTGGGGCTTGCCACACCCAACAGAGGAGCAGGGCATGTTGTTGCAGTGCAAAACTCCACACCTGCTCTCCATGCTATGGGCTGGAACTGTGACTGCAGGCCCTACACACCACTTATGTTAGATACTGGAGCTGTGTAACACTGACCCTGTCCTGCAACTCCCGCAGCTTGGCCCTCCATTCAGGCTGAGGTCAGCACAGAGGCCCCTTAGTCACTGCTCTGCTGGTGCACCTTCTTCACCCCTATACATTCATGCAGGGTTTGGCATAATTTGACGCTTAGAAATCAGAGTCAAAGCTAACGGAGATGTTATCCTCATTTACAGACCATCAAAGACTAGAGTAGTGGTTCTCAACCCACAGGCCACTTGTGGCCCAATCAGCATACAACTGTGGCCGATGTGACATCCTCAGGGCCATCCAGGTAGTATATATATTGTGTGGGTGCGGCCCACATAACACAGAGAGCTACAAATGCGGCCCACAATGGTAAATAGGTTGAGAACCATTGGACTAGAGGAACTCACTGATACCTTGTCAACAATGGTGGTGAAATATCCCACACTTGTCATATTGAGAGACTTCAGCATTCATGTCAATAAGGCATCAGATGCAAAAGCTCTAAAGCTTCTCTCATTTGCCTCCCTAGAACTTTCACAGGTCATTTCTGATCCAACCACACAGCAGGTCACATCTTAGACCTGGGTCTTTGGATTAGATGTCGATATCGAGATATCACAACCCAGATCATCACCTCATTAAGACAGCGGTCAGAACTCCTCCAGCTTCCAGGCAACAAGACCCACCCAGGATCCTAATTTCACCACAAAGACATAGACACCATCAAATTCCAAAGCCTATTAAACTGACCCCAAAGGACTGCAGTGCTCCATCCACAGGACAAGGAGTCAAGGATCTCATGAATCTTTACCATTGTATGCAAGCCTTGACCATCAACACATTGGCCCCCAAATAACCCCTTCCTGTCACCCACACAAGTCTCTCTAGTTTTCTGACATCTTATGCCTCATGAAAAGAGCCAACATACTGCCACCCTGCAGTTCACACCTCAACTGGGACTGGGTACCGGACACCCTAAGAGAGTCTTGACCCAAGATATATGAATCCAACCCAAGTCATGAGCAGCTGGTGCCACCACTACGGGAAACAGCCAACACCATTTTCAGGGAAGGAATCTTCCCTTCCTCCTTCAAATATGCAATAGTCTGACCAACACTGATGAAACCTACCCTGTATACACAGGTTCTAGTTAATCACCACCCCGTGTGAAATCTTTGGTTCCTGAGCAAGCTGATAGAGAAGCTAGCCAAAGGCCAACTAAAAGTTCATCTTACTAATGCTAATATTCTATACCTGAAACAATCTGGATTCAGGCCAGACATTGATTCTCCAGACCTCTCTGCAGCATTTGACACCGTTGACCACAAGATACTTATGTCTCACCTGGGAGAGGTGGTAGAGGTCCAGGGTTATGCACTAAAAGGGGTTGAGTACCTCCTGGAGGGACACACCCAACAACTAATGATGGGAAACTGCACTTCTGCCACTAGACCTGTCACTTGTGGAATGATACAAGGATCAATTCTATCCCCACTCCTGTTCAACATCTACATGTAGCCAATATGGGAACTAGTCAGAGGACATGAATTTAAGTGCCAGCAATATCCAAGTGAAACACAGCTAAATCTACCCTTTGTTACACATGGCCATATCACCACCACCAAGATGGCCCACTACTTGGCTGAAATCAGCTCATGGCTGAAGAATAGCTAGTGGAAACTGAACCCTAGTAAGGCAGAGGTGACCCTGGTGAATGGATAAAAGCATTTTGAGGAATTTGCACCCATGGTGCAGGACACACATAGTGCTTAAGGCGCACACCCACATTAGGTCAATTCAGTCCATAGCTGAGGGTTGCTTCTGGATTCCTTGCTGACACTATGCTCTCACCTAGCGGCGTCTATGAGCTATGCTTTGTACCATCTCTGGTTGGCTAGAAGACTGTCCCATCCTGACAGATGATGGCCTCAGTTACACCTTTTCACCTCGTCTTGACTACAGCAATGTAATATACCTGGGCACAAAGCCATCAGCCCTTAAGAAACTCCAAATAGTACAGAACACTGCAGTGCATCTCCTTATCAATACAGGCTACCATGAGCACAACATCCCTGTCCTCCACTCTCTGTAATGGCTTCCCAGAGAATAGAGTTAAGTTCATGGTCTCAGTCCTTATCTTCAAGGCCCTCAATGGCCTGGGCCCAGGGTATCTAATAGATCACCTAAAGCTCTGGGGTGAGGACCATGATAAGCAACTGTGCTCCACTGGCACAATGAAACACTGCAATAAGGGTAAAGCTCATCTGTGAGGGAGACAGCTTTCCTGAGGTCCAGTCTGCAACTGTGGAACAAACTCCTCCAGGAACTCACAAACCTCATTACCTTCCACTCCAAGTACATGGCACTCATCTCCAACATGCCTTCTCTAACACTGAGTGCACAAAAAACTCCAACCCTGTCAAAACAAAACACCATACTGCACACACAGATCTCCTCCCTGGGGAGAGGATGAGAGAGAGAGAGAATGAACCACACATGACAGATGTTAGGGCTGGTCTACACTAAATCTGTAAATTGGCCTAAGTTATGCTACTTCAGTTACGCAACTGAAGTCGACGTAACTTAGGTCGACTTACAGCGGTGTCTACACCACGCTGTGTTGACAGGAGACGTTCTCCTGCCAACTTATCTTACGCTTCTCGGGGAGGGGGAGTACAGAAGTCCACTGAGGAGGACTCTCCCATCAACTTAGCAGATCTTCACCAGACCCGCTAAATTGACACCGCTGCATCGATAGCAGCAGTGCCAATTTAGCTGTATAGACATGCCCTTAGTCACCTCACTTAATGCATTACTGGAAGGTGCTCAGCTACTGCCATGATTAAGGCCCTACCAAATGCACAGCCATGAAAAACGCGTCACAGACAGTGAAATCTGGTCTTTTGTGTACTGTTATTCTATACTACAAAAGTACCCTAAACTCTAGGGTAAAAGTATACAAAAATACGCAGCATTTCTCAATCTGGGAGTCCCAACCCAAAAGGGAGTCACAAAGCTATTGTGTGTGTGGGGGGGGGGCGTCACAGTATTGCCACCTTTACTTCCATACTGCTGCTGGCGGCAGTGCTGCTTTCAGAGCTAGATATCCAGCCAGCAGCCGCTGCTCTCTGGCCGCCCAGCTCTGAAGGCAGCGCTGAAGTAAGGATGGCAATACCATGACCCCCTTTTGGGTTGGGACCCCTGGTTTGAGAAACACCGAGTCTTAAAGGGCTTTACATGTTTATATTTTGCCTTTTTAAAATACATATTCATGTTTTGTTACACCACCATTAAATTTAAGATTTAAATATCTGAAACCATGAAATTCAAGATTTTTAAAATGCTATGACTGTGAAATTTACAAAAATGGACTGTGAATTAGGTAGGGCCCTAGCCATGATGAAGGCCGTAGAACAGGGGTCGGCAACCTTTCAGAAGTGGTGTGCCGAGTCTTCATTTATTCACACTAATTTAAGGTTTCATGTGCCAGTTATACATTTTAATGTTTTTAGAAGGTCTCTTTCTATAAGTATATAATATATAACTAAACTATTGTATGTAAAGTAAATAAGGTTTTTAAAATGTTTAAGAAGCTTCATTTAAAATTAAATTAAAATGTAGAGCCCCCCGGACCGGTGGCCAGGATCCGGGCAGTGTGAGTGCCACCGAAAATCAGCTCATGTGCCGCCTTCGGCACACGTGCCATAGGTTGCCTACCCCTGCCGTAGAAGAACCGATGTAGAACAGAAGAGGAAATCTTTGGAAATTGGCCCTTAGTACAGAAAAGTGCAAAGACTCCCAAACTTGCGTGCAGTAGTGCCACATCACCAGACTAAAACCTCAGTTGTACCAGTTCATGTCCACCACTTAGTGCGTTCTGGCCTGCAGTAGAGATTGGGCTGCTCCAAATCATACACTGTGTGACTGGGTTCGGAGTGGCTGCACAAGCTCATCCATACGTTAGAACACACACAAATGAATGGGAGAGGGATAGCAGAAATCAGAGCATGGGTTCAGCATTGATATATGGAGGGAGAGCCCAGAGTACCAAGTCACAAAAGCCTGAAGTATCAGTACTCCTACACATGCTGGTGGTAGGGAGTAATGGGTTATTGGCACAGCTGCTCACAAACTGAAGTTGTTATATTTATAGAATTGCAAATGTTAGAGTATTTGGTACCAGGTGTATAATCTGTGAAGTTTTATTTTAAACAACTAACTAGGATCTGAAAAATTCACAGACTAGTGGAACAGCAGTCTCAGAAATGTCACCCTTCCCTTCTTCACTTTCTATTGGGTCAGGGGGGTGGGAGAGATAGATTGTAAACTCCTCGGGGCAGGGACAGTCTCCTACTCTGTATTTGTACAATGCCTAGCACAATGAGGCCCCACGGTAATAAATGATATTATGAGAACATCCCTCCCCAAACAATTCATTGTTATGTGTTGAACAGTGACCTCAGAACATCCCTGATAACTATTTATCTCAAACTAATTCAGCAATAAGGTAAGCTAAGGTGAAGAGGAGTGTACACATGGAAAGATAAAGCATGAGAAAAACAGACCATTGCCATATTCATAATTGCATGGCCACCGGTTTAATTGATTGCCTATTACTGGTTAACTTTTACCAAGTGATTCATGATCTAGCAAGTATCAGAGGGGTAGCAGTGTTAGTCTGAATCTGTAAAAAGCAACAGAGGGTCCTGTGGCACCTTTAAGACTAACAGAAGTGTTGGGAGCATAAGCTTTCATGGGTAAGAACCTCACTTCTTCAGATGATCTAGCAAGCAATTCACTCATCAAAAAAAGCCTTTGAACCCACTCAAAGTCATTAAAAAGACTTGAGATAGGAGGCTCCGGGGAATGGGATACAGGGCAGATGAGTGTTCATCACAAACACCATTTCGCCCGGCACCCCTGTTGGCACTCAGTGAGCTAAATGATCTCCTGCATGCCAGGATCACTATAGGCCACGAGTGCCCGGAGCCTAAGGGACACCTGGGCAGGAGCAGGAGGAGAACGGTGGGAAAGGTAAAGGTTTCTGTGGTTCCTTCAGCTGGAGCATGGATTTTCCCTGCCACTCCCCGGCAGCAGCCCTGCTGCCTCCAGACACCGCCTGCCCGGGCGCTCAGCTGCGCAGAAGCCTGTGCCCGGGCGGGGGAAGCAGGTAACGCAGGGCAGGGGCAGAGAGCGGCCGCTGCCCGCTGGGGTGCGAGGCCCAGCTCAGCCGGGGGGAGCGTGCCCGGCCCCGAGCCCCGCCAGGCGCCCGAGCCCAGCAGCAGCAGCTACCTGTGTGGGTGTGAGCAGCCCTGGCCCGGCGGCCGCTCCCGGGGCCCCCAGCATCGGTCGGGGGAGTCGCACTTTTAACCAGCAGCCCGGGGAGCCCTTGGAGCAGCCGGGCCATCGTGCAAAGGGGCCGAGCAAGCGCAGACAAACAGTCCGGGAGCCGGCGAGCAGCCACTCAGCCCGGGCTGGCCTCGGAGCGCTCCGCAGTCGCGCAAGGGCCGGTGTCCGCCCCAGGACAGCTCCGCGGAGCCTCCTGCAAGAAGTGCGCTGGATCTGCATGGCTCCTCTGCAGCCGGCCCAGAGCCTGGGACCCAGCCACCACGGGAAGCGTCTACACGGTAAAATTAGAGCCCTCCACGGAGTCAGCTGATAAGGGGCCAGCTGGGGGTGTTTTAGTGCTGCGGTAGCCTGCACGCTAATCCTAGGAGCTCACTCAGGTTTGAGCTCAAACCCTCTTTGTAGCCACAGGCAAATCAGTCTGACTCAGGCTAGTAAGCACTCAGGATCCGGGTATTAGGGCCCTGCTAGGAGGGGTGAGTCAGAGCCTGAGTCCTACTTTGACTTGGGTCTAAGCTTTGTCATCTTGCAGTTTGAACACAGCTCAGGCTGTAGGCCCAAGTGAGGAAGTCTGCGCAGTGCAGCATGGCCGCCTTAGCACAGCTGAGATCCAGGTTGCAGAGTGATGAGGCACAGAGCCTGGACACGCAGGTGCTGCTTCCACCCACAGACCTTGGCTTAGGGGTCCCTCTTTACAATAATATGTGCAGGCCAGAGTCTGCCCCTTCTTCCTGGGCAGCTTCAGTGAAATTGCTGGGGTCACCTGCGGGGAATGGGAGGCATAATTCAGCCCAAGGGCCATTCTTCTCCTGATTAATTGTCTCTGTTATGTTGAGCCTGCTCCCAAGGTGGATGGGGCTTTGGACATTGGCCTCACCCAGCCCCACTAATCCAGACCTCAGTGGCAGTGTCTATGGCCTCTCAGTGAAGTAGATAAACTGACCTAACCCCCAGTGTAGACAGAACTAGGTCAATGGAAGAATTCTTCTATCAACCCAGCTACTGCCTCGCAGGAAGGTGGATTACCTACACAACCCCACAAATCAGCATAGATAGTGTCTGTGCTGAAGCACTACAGCAGCACAGCTGAAGCAATGTTTCACAATCCCTGAGTGCCTTCCATTAGTACATTAACACATCTGTCACATGTAGTTCTCTCTTCCACTCCCCCAGGGAGAAGCATGTACAATGGAGCGTCTTGTTTGATAGGGTTTGGATTTTTTTTTTTTTATGTTACAGAAGGCAAGGGTCAAAGACATGCACCTTTCACTTGGAGAGGAAGATGGTGAGGTTTGTGATGGTCCTTCGTTCCTGGGAGAGTTCATTCCACATTCTCGGACTGGACCACAAAAAAGTTCTGTCTCCTACACAGACAAGTTTACTTTTATTGTAGGGAGCTCCATTGTGCCAAAGGAGCAAAGTCATTGACCAGTCTTCATCCTGGAGCTTTAGGCAGTCTTTAGATAGTCTGGGCTCAGGTCATGGGGTGCCTTGAAGATAAAGACCATGACCTTTAACTTGATTTGAAATGCTATGGGAAGCCAGTGTAGCGAACAGAGGATAGGTTTGATATGCTTGTTGCTGAGGAGAGACACTACAGCATTCTCTACTAATTGGAGTTTCCGAAGTGCTAAAGGTTGCATGTCCAGTTATATCTTTAATGTGTTATACAAAACAAAGGAAGAGACATTGTTTAGAAACAATTATTTTTTAATAAGCTGATTTTCAGAATTATCTCAGAGGGGTTTTTTAAAACCCCATCAAAATCAGTCTTCTCAACTGCATGCCAGAACTCCAGAATGTCCTTCCAATTTACTACTCACAGAACAACTGAGGCACCCTTCCAGGTGAGGCTATTGTCTTTTTGTCCTCTAGAACTAAAATAGTCCATCTAGTGTTAAAAAAATCCTACAGTATCGAAAAGAGGAACCTCACAAATGGGATGATGCTTAGTCTTTCTTGTTAGAGTGTTTTTTTGTTTTGTTTTTTTAATGGAAAGTTTCCCCACACTGCTCTGCCAAATGCTGCTTCATTCTTGGCCTGCAATACCTCATCTCCTGCTGTTGCAGTTATGGGCTATTTCTAAGTAGCAACTGCCAGTCGTTCCATGGTTTTGTGAAGAAAACATCCAGAAGAGATCACTTTGAGGCCAGACTCATTGTAACTAGTCACCTGAGCTGGATTTGAAACAAGTTACGAAAGAGGTGAAAGGCCAGTGTACTAACAAATGGTGCCTCCGAGTATCTGGGGCCAGAGCCTCAGCTGGGGTAAATCACTGTTGCCTTTGGCTGATCTCCTCTGGCACCCCTGGAAGAGAAGGGGCAGTGGATGCTTTTTACTATTGCACCTCCCCCCCCCCTTGTAGAACAGGCTGCTGTAGACCCTCTGGTGAATCTGCCCCACTGACGTTTCATTCTGACTTAGGCCTTGGGCAAATCATTTAACTTCTTTGTGTTTCAGGTTCCCTATCTGTAAAATGGGGATAATGATCCTTAAGCTTTTGCATAAAGTGCTTTAATAGCCACAGATAAAAGCATTATATGAGTGCTAGGTATTATTATTGCCACAGAAAAATCATCCATAAAACCACATGTACTTGGGCTGAAAGTAATTCTGGGACACCCACTTAGTATGTAATTTGGCCACCTATACAATGTATAAGCTATTTCTTTATTTTCCTCAATATGCTATTTTCCTTTAAGAAACAAACTCATGTTCCCTGATTGCAAAGTGAGTTTTAATAAACATACAGCTACATCAAACACACCTGGCTAAGCAGGATTTTTAATAGCCTCTGATTTTTACAGTGGTCACTAATCTCCTGGATACGATCAGATGCCTAATGTCAGTTCTGTCATATGCGTTCCATCCACTCTAGCTATACAGTCCAAAGGACACAAATTGAGAGTATGTATATGTGTCCAATACAAGTAGCATGCACTTGTATCCAGTATTTTCTTTGGTTGTCAATTGCCTTAAAATCTAAATTAGTTATGGGAAGGTAATGGACACCCTATGAGAAGGATTCTTGATGCTGTGTCTTGTTCCCAGCCATCCTGTGCTTCCTAGGGTGTAGCTAAGAAATGTGGTAGAGCACAGCATATACATAATCCTTTCTCTACTCCGTCATCCATACAGGCTGTGATTCAAAATCTGCTTCTGTTTAAACGGGTGTAATAGATTGATGCTGTAGATTTATGCTGCTGTAATTAGACCAGAGTGTGACCTTGTGCTTTGACATTGCATTGTGCTTCAGGTACAAGAGGCCCTGCTCTCTAAGGCCTGGATTCTCAAAGCCAACTGCACCTCTGCTTTCAATTCCAGTTCAAGCCCCTCATTGTGGCTGTTCACACTTGTTTCTCATGTCACAAGACCCTCTTTCCCCTTGATTTGAGAAGTGCTCTCCCCAAAAAGGACAAATCCTCAGCAATATATGTATGTATTAGAACAATATTCAATTTCCATGGAGTTGTTGGCCATTGTAATTTCAAACAATTAACAGATGACATTATTTATAGATCAGTGTGTAAAATAAAGAAAATTACAGTCGTGACCGATATTCGGATCAACAAAGATCATATGATTTTCTCTAATGGGGATGATTTTATTGAGCTAAGCTTGGCAGCCTGCCCCTAAGTAGCCCCATTTGTCAAATACAGCCTTATAACAAGATTTGTGTTGCAGATTGAAGCTGAATTTTTTATGCAAAAATTGAAATAGACTTAATCATCCATACAGTGCATATATGCATTAGCCTTAGACTAGTAAAAAGGGATTTTTCAGCCAGTCTTATCACTTAAATGCTTGACAAATTAAAACAGCTGAAGGGTCTGTGTGGAGCAGGAGGATTACTGCTATTCTCATATCCGGCTCAGTTCTGGTCTCAGATACATGAGCTCAGCTCCCATTGGCTTCAGAGGGACAGTGATGCTGGAATTGGGTTTGCAAGGTCTGACGAATGTGTTAAGAAATAAGAAGCCTTAGCAAGATACTCTGGTTTCCAAACTAGTGGATGAAAGAGAAGCATTGTGTGGTAACCCACCATAAGATTTTAAAGGCTTAAAGCTAGTTGTAATGGGGTGAAGGGTTTGCTGGCGAGTGGCCTCTCATCTTATGTACATATCAGTGAGGAGTGCCAAGGAAAGAGAAGGCCATTGTGGCCTGACAAATCTACTAGCTCTCCTCCATCTCAATATGAAAACATAAAAGTCTGATCTGCATGCCGTTAAGGATTGCACTAAAATTAGCAGTGCACAGAATAGACCATAAAAAGACAGATTTCAATCACTTCTTCTTAAGAGACAAAAAAGAGATCAGTTTAAAATTGAATAATCGCTCTAGCCATAAAATATACAAAATATGTTTATTTGGTGAAGGAAAAATTCCTTGTCAAATAATTTATTTGCAGACTTTATGGATCACTTTTAAAATAAGGCATGCCCAGTATCGGCATGCAAAAACGTGTATGGTGTGGTGCTCCTAATTTTGCATGCACAGTCATCTAAGTTGTGAGTACTGGTTGTACAATTGCACATGCAAAGAGCTATTTGGACACCTAACTAGCTATTTGCACACACATTTGTTTGATTTGCATTCACAACTGCAGATACATATATCTACACAATAGTGCATGTATTTTAGCTTGCACAGTTTGGGCCTCTTGTTTTAAAAATACAGTCCTATAAGTGAGTCATTAAACCATACCAGACTACTTTTGTCAACATTTCAGCACTCCGTTTCTGATTTGGTATTTGTTTATTGTTACTGAATGTAATGGAAATAACTATTTTAATTGCATTGAATAATAAAGAAACCAGAGATAAATATATTTAATAAGAGCTGTCATTAGGAAGATTTGCTAGTAAGATAGCATTTGGCCTGACCAATTCTACATCTTCCAATGGAAAGATTAATTCTGTACATAAACTACTGCTATATGTCCAGCCTTCTTGACACAAATCACCTTTACACCAAATACTGATCCTAATCCTGCCAGGTGATAAATCCAGTGGAAATTGAGGACATTCAACACACCACGTTATCAGACCAATTAATTGGTTT